CTACGGGTCGAAACCCCCTCCGGTGCAATTTGCGTCAATTTAGTCTGCGCCAAATCCAGGGTTGCCCCCGTCAAAACCCTCACTGTTCCCCGATTGGAACTATCCGGTGCTCTCATCCTCAGCGATTTGCTCGCCTTTGTCCAAACCACATATTCACCTATTCTGACGATTGATGAAACGTTTGCTTGGTCTGATTCCCAAATTGTCCTCGCCTGGCTAGCATCTTCACCCTCTCGTTGGAAAACTTTTGTAGCGAACAGAGTGCATCACATTCAAGAAACCATCCCGCAGGCTCAATGGAGACATATAAGGTCTGAACAAAACCCTGCTGATTGCGCCAGTCGTGGACTCATGCCAAAAGAGTTTCTGCAGCATACTCTGTGGACTCAGGGTCCAGATTGGTTATCCCTTCCTCGGGAATATTGGGGAAGTCGTCTGGATAATACCGAGTTAAACCTGGATGAACCTCTTCCTGAGGAGAAATCCTTAACCTGTGCCCTTAGTGTAGAGGGAAATCTCTTGGAGGTTAATCCATTAGATAAACTGTTGCAAAGGTATTCTTCCCTTCAAAAAATCCTTCGAATTGTAGCTTATTGTCGTCGTTTTTATCGCTTCAACCAACCGGATCATATTCCGACAAACGTCCTGCCCTCTGAAGGCGAGCTTCATTCTGCGTTCCTGTTATTAGTTAAACATGTTCAACGCGAATGTTTTTCAGATGTTCTAAAAATTATTGAGACTAACAAAACATTACCCAAACCTCTTCGAAAATTGGCACCCTTTGTGGATGAGACGGGTCATCTTCGAGTGGGCGGTCGCCTCAAGCATTCCCCACTTAGCTTCGACCAAAAATTCCCCATTTTATTGCCCCGTGCTCATAGATTAGTTGAACTAATTATCGAAGACACACACCGAACACACTTACATCCTGGACTAAAAACTTTGCACCATTTGATTTTGCAAAAATGTTGGATACTGTCTGCCCGACGTGCCATTAATCGCTGCGTTTCTCGTTGTATAACATGCTTTCGAGCTAAGCCCAAACCCTACACGCCTTATATGGGAGACCTCCCAGCTTGTAGAATATCCCAACTCAAAGCCTTTTCGCACGTTTTCATTGACTTTTGTGGTCCTTTTTACATCGCCATGAGTAGAGTTCGTGGAGCAAAAACCCTGAAATCATATGCTTGCGTTTTCGTTTGCTCCTCCACCAAGGCGATTCATTTTGAATTAGCCTCAGATTTGACGTCGGATGCTTTTTTGGCTTGTCTTCGTCGTTTTGCAGCTCGCAGGGGCCGTATTACAGAAATTTGGTCCGACAATGGAACCAATTTTATTGGAGCTTATAATCAACTCTTGCAAATTGCCAAAGAGGCATCGGAAAACCTTTCGATTTTATGGCGCTTCGGCCCACCTGGTGGTCCCAATTTCACCGGACTCGCTGAAGCAGGAGTAAAGTCATTGAAAACCCATTTGGTTCGCGTCGTCGGTGAGCAGAGGCTGACTTATGAAGAGTTGAACACCGTATTAATTCAAGTAGAAAGTCTGCTAAACTCTAGGCCCATTTGCGCTCAGAGCGATGACCCGAATGATCTTTTGCCATTGACTCCTGGTCATTTTTTGTCTATCGAACCCTTAAATTCCGTCCCTAATCGGAACTTTTCTCATCACAAACTCAACACGTTATCCAGATGGCAACTCCTTCAAAGACTTCATTGCGATTTTTGGAAGAGATGGCACTTGGAATACCTAAACTCCCTCCAGCAACGATCGAAGTGGACGATCAACAATGATGCAGTAAAATTAAATGCATTGGTTGTTATCAGAGATGAAAACAGGCCGGCCACTCAGTGGACTATGGCTCGCATTATTGTACTTCACCCCGGCGCAGATGGAATCGTTCGCGTGGTGACTGTGAAGACCTCTTCCGGTTCGAATCTCAAACGACCGATAACCAAGTTGTGCCCTCTGCCAACTATGGTTTAAATTGCAAATTTCACAGCCTGTTTTTGTTGTGCCGTCTTATTAGTATTTACATATTTACATAATTTTTATCGTTATTTTGGTTGGAGTTTTATTTTATTTTATTTTTTTTGAATTGGAATGGGATATTTACATGCAAACATGCGTAATGCAGTTGCATCTTGTTTACTTAAATTAATTTTTTTTGTTTGGTTCTCGAAAAAACCTCATTGTTTTTCCGGGGCCGGTAATGTTGATGCAATGATTTCGCGTTAACTTTTTGTGGGTCAAATTTGACCCTGTATAATAGAGGCATGCATTTTGCGTTCCATATATCGCTGAAGAATAGAAGCGCAGCGCGCGCCTCCTAGAAATACTTAGCGAAAAGGGTAGGACAGTACCGATAGTACAATTGATACGAGAGTTGCGGTTTGGTGCGTACCCACTCCATGTCTCGGCGGTTCCCAAAAGATTTTCACGACCGTTGAGTTTTTATCGTACATATTTCGCCGTTTGAACAATTGATCGTGAGTTAAAGCCTTCCAGGGGCGCCCCTAAAGTTACGAGACCACAGAAGCCAAATTGGGTAAGCGACAAAACCTTTTTGCATGACCTCACTTAATTTCTCATTTTTTCGTGTAATAAGGACGCAATAATCGCAATACAGTCCACTAATAATTCAAACATAATAATTGCATCCTCACCCCCTATATCTTCGGCTTGTTCAGGCTCACCGTTTGGTAATATCATTTCAATTTTAGCTGTTTTCAAATCAACGTTTCTCAATTTAACTGCTTCTAGTAGCTCAAAAAAAACATTTCCTCTGTGTAAAATTAATTTTTCATCGATGTTATGTTTTACAGATGGAACATTATTGTTAACAATTCCTTCGATTTCAAAATCATATTCTGATGAAAATATAGTAGTAGCTGCTTCTGTATCCTGCAAAATAAAAAAGTGAAGAGCTTGGTGATAGCCCCGAAACAATTTATATGCGACGTTGCAATTTTTGGCATTTTCATGTTTGGACTGGAATCAGCGCCACGCCACGCCACGCCACGCCACCACAGTTGTTTATTATTATTATCCCGGTCTTTTGAGTTTTGAGTGGACACAGAATATAATAACCTTTCATAATTTAATTATACTGCTTATGATTGAATAAAATTGAAACAACAAATTTTGTATTTTGAAGCACTGCCTTTTGGTTGAAGTGGAACTGGAAACTCGTTTGTTCTCCTACAGGGCGGAAATATCAAATTCGGGAAAAAATAGTCATTTTCTAACAAGTGCGGGAAATACCATTTCTCACAAGTGTTAAGCCTCGCAAGTGTTAAGCCTCATAACAGCGAAATTCGCTCTTTTTTGACGTTCCTTCGACAATTTCACGTTCTATGCGTGAATCAAACGTCAAATTTTCGAAGCAATGTGAAAAAGCGAATTTCGCGGTTATGAGTACTAGGCTTAAGGAACACAATTTTTCTGAAGGGTGCGCGGAAAGTTTTTTTTCCGCACATTCGTAGGAAAAAAACGGATCATCTTAGTTTTAGAGATTATCCTGTTTTCAATCCCTAGTAGGACTGCTTATTGAGCTAGAAGTGTCTGCCAACTGCTATGTTAGCTGCATACCTTAATTCTTGGAGTAAAATAAAATGCATTATTCGAGTTCAAAGCACACAAAAAAATGAATTCCTAAACGGTAAAATCTTGTTAAAATCACCTTTTCTACATTTAAAATCGACGAAAAAATCAAATAACGAGCACAGCCTAAATCGCAAGCCTTCCATCGAGGTCTGCGGGTGACGTCGTCACTATAAGCAGCTGTGGCGATGTCACTTGCAGACCCTGCCTGCTCAAGAATTGGTGATTGTAGGCCTTATTAGGATGAGCAATCCTGTTTACGATTGTTGTATAAAAATGTCGAAAATTCCAATTAAATCTAAATCTTTCTTTGCACAAACAAATAAACATCTGCAAAAAGTTTTTTTCTGACCATTGAAAAATAAACAATTCTCGTCAAAAATCATTTTCTGTAACTTCGAAGCATTACCTACATATTTTAAAACCCGCTGTTTTCGTCACTCGTTAGACAATAAACATTGTCCGCACCTGTTAGAAAAATCTAACCCAAACAAAATAATATACTTTGACGTCAATTTGGCAACGCAGCACTCCTTGCCTTAACCCTTTAGAATTGTTTTGGAGCTCCCACCAAGCTCTTGTGAAACCTAGATCAAGTTTGAGTTTATTCCTCTACCTAATTCAATTGCTATAACAAGTAAGATTTAATTATTTGTTACTGTAGCCTATTTCTTTCAAATTTGGTATAGGAGGGTTTTTGATAATACTAAAAATTATTATCAGATTATTCAAAAATTACCTAATTCATTTCAGTTTAAACTAAAACTAATGATCTGACAAATTTTGACCTCATGGCAAGTTTTCTTGGAATTTAATTGCCAATCTAAATTTGAAAACCGCGTTTCTCGAGCTATGATTTTTTTACGATTCAACCCCCTTTTTCACCCCTTTACAAAACTCCCATCCCCATCAAAAACTAATGGGCTCATTTTACGGTGTCACAGAACTTTTGTGCTAAATTTGGCTCAAAAAGGTTGAGCGGTTTTTGAGATATTGTGTCACAGACAGACAGACATACAGACTGACAACAACATGATAAAATTATGTTGTGAGGTCATTTTTGACTCAAATAACTCACTTTGAGTGAAAATAGATTATTTTTTTTGATGATTGATTAGCCCTCCATAACTGTTGGTATGGCGGCTAAAAATATCAAACGTCAATTTCAACTTAAAGTTGGAAGTATGGAAGTGGATGTAAATGCAACTTAACTTTTCATAATTTCGTAAAAAAATCAGGTCTCTATCTTTAAAAATAACCAAGTTATTGGAGACGTCCACTTATAACCAATAATAATGCTGATTGCTGTACATGATATAAGTAGTGAAAAAGCAAAGAATTTTGTTGCGTCCTTTCGCAACAGACATGATAACATATCCCCAATGAAGTATGATTACCTGCTCATGGTTTGATTGAAGAGTCTCTACTTCATAAGGAAGCTGCAAAACTGAAACTTCATAGTCGTTGTCCTGAAAAACAGATTTTATTTTATTCACTATTTGTTGAGGAAAATCAGACATCAGTCAAGTGACTACAACAAGCAGAAAGAAGTAATAATAAATAAGTGTTTTAAGTAATAAATGGGTTCCGTGCTTAGTAATTAGTAAGTACCCACTTACCGAAGTGAAGCTGTCTAGGTAGGTAGAGATGTTTTCTACAAATACTGGCTCTTCTCTCACGGATGATATTACTCCATAACTTGCTGGAAATTGGTCAACTGTAGATGAAGTGATCGTGCTAGTTGCTGACGCTGACACAGTAGTTCTTTCGGATAGTCTTGCACTCCTTCGAAAATGAGTTCCAGCATCTGTTGTAAAATCCTCATCATCTTCTTCATCGACTCCAATCTTACGGGTTGTGGCCAAATAAAATCTAAGAGTTGGCAACGCTGCTAAATCATACATTTCTTGAATTGATAAGTTTTCATCAAAGTTGTGGCTTTTGTAGTCAACCAATTCCACTTCAAAATTTGAAATTGGCCCTTTAGTAGACATACCATTTGGAAAAAACAAATCTTTTGCCATTTGAAGGACTTCTGTGCATCGACTAGTTCTGTCAATGGCTATACGTCTGGTACCACCTCCATTCCGAGCTCTTACTTGTTTGTAACGGTCTTCTCTTTTGTGCATGCAAAGCCAACCAATTTCTATTATGCGCGTTTGTTTATAGGTTTTTCTTAGATTATCCGATTTGCCGCGCGAAGAACCTTCTTTTCTTTGGTCCATTTTTGCCTTTAGTCTTTCTATCAAACTTTGTTTAGAAGTGGTTGCGGTTGAGTCCCTTTTTGCAAATTTTTTTACAGCAGCTCTAGTTCCATATGCAGGAATCAGCTCTTTCAGTTGTTCGTCTGACATAGCACATATTGCTTCAGAGTCAATCTGGAATAGTAATTAGGATTTGTAAGTGTATCAAGGTCGTAAAGTTCAGCTTTTTTGACCAAATTAATAATTTGCTGCAAATTTGGAAGGGGACAAATAATACCATTACAGAACTACTCACTAGAAGTAGGTGGTTGAAATTAAGACAAAGATAATAGGTAGGTACATACATTTTCCTCAATGAAATATTTGATGGTGCTCGCAGAAACTCCTCTGTGTTTAAGAAAATCCTCTCTAGAGTCATGTCTAAAATCTGAAAATTAGAATAAATATTTTCAGTTGTTTTAACGTTCTGGCAAGACATCAGTAGGTATCTATACCCATTGCTATTTTCAGCGGAGGCGATAACTAGAGGAATATAATATATCTTTTGCACATGTGCTCAATTCTTGGCTCAATTCATTCAACTTTCAACTACATATAAGTAATACATAACCTTACCTATCTTATAAGTGAATCACGGCCACAGCCACCGCATATAAAACAATCAGTAGGATAATGATAATTTTCTTGTTGATGTATGAAAAAATAATGTAGTCGATCTTGAAGACACTATTTGAGGATACCCAAAGCACAGGGCCTAATCAAAGATATTTGCAGTTTTGACATGCTTGGGACAGGGAAGTAAAGTATAACCAATTTCAATTAAAACTTCATAAAAAATGCGGCTCAGTCGATCTCTTTGAAGTCACGTGGGAAATTAAATACCTAATAAATATTTGTCGTCTACCGTGTCCAAGGCACCAGCGCGGCATCCGAGCGTGTATCAACGTGCCTTATTAAGGTATACAAAAACGATTTTTAATATAAATAGATTAGAATAGGTAAAAATGGCCGACAGAAAAGAACAGGCCTGGTTTCGCACGTGCGATGGATGCATGCGTCCGATGCTTGCAGCGGCTGCAGCGTCTATCGCATGCGTTTGAGTGGTTTTGCTTGTGCGTCTAGATGGAACAGTCGGCACGCGGCGGTCCAGTTCGTGCAAGCATCATGAAGCTTGTGTTGGCCTGTCTATTTGAAGAAGAAGATGATGAAGCAATCAATCCGTTGTTACCGCTTTTTCCCTCCATTTTTTCCGGTATGTTTCCAGACATTATTTTTCACAATTAGATCTTTATATTTTTCACTTGAAGCATCATAAAGGCATTTGTGAAATGATACCAATTCAATTAATAACATCTCGTCATCCCGGCTCCATTTTTCACCACTCATGTTGACGGCTCGAAAATGCACAATCGCCTGCGTTCTCGCCGTCAGACTGGTCTTCGAAGCAGTCGTTGCGTTTCGATGCTGCATCTAGACGCAGACGCCAGATGTTGACGCACTAGTAAAACCACAAGCACGTGATACCATATGAGGAGTCCCTGCGATGAACGCATGCAGCCGCTGCAAGCGTCGGATGCATGCATCCATCGCACGTGCGAAACCAGGCCTTTAATATAATAACGGATAAATATGTAATTTTACAGAATATACAATGAAAATTTGGAACCAACATCTGATGGATATATAGATAAATGCATTCTGCATGTGTGTGTCCTTCGACTGACAGAGATGTGATTGCGCATGCGTAGGAATGCCGTGCTCCAATTGGTTCCCGCTCCCCGCGACCTTACATTCAAATTTTTATAAAAGTGAAGCAAGCTGTGATACGGTGACTCTATAACCCACAGTGGCGGCAATTGCTGTCTTATTTTTGATTGGTTCAAAAATCCCATATATTTATATTGAAAACGCCGCCACCTTGTTCCCAACCCCTTGTTACTTTTAAATATGAATATATGGGATTTAGGTGAAAATCCATCAGAATCATGGAAAACAACGTATTTGATGGACCTAATAATGGTCATCAAATACGTCGATTCCAATTTTTTATGATAGATGTCCAGTTAAATCCTATATTAATATTTAAAAGTAACAAGAGGTTGGGAACAAGATGGCGGCAGGACCTCTATTGTCGCCACTGTATGTAAAGGTTTATTTAGCCACTGTAAGCTGTGAAAGTGATGTCAAATTATCAAATAGCCGACAAACACCATTTTTTTGACGCATGCGTATATGAGGCAGGGGAGTCGAAGAAAGACTTAGGCGGTTTTAATATTTCCATCTCATAGTGTTGACTTCAAGAATTGGAGATTAAGCCGTCACACACACTTTTGCATAGCATAACGCATAGCATAGCGCATAAATATTTATTCCTATGGAAATTTTTAAGCCAAACTGTCAGCTGAAAATCAGATGACCTCTAATACCAGGGTTGGCAAAATATAAAACTCATTCAAAAAACCCAGCGAGTTTTTGTATCAAAAACCCACCCAGTGTCATATACCCATCGCAAAAACCCAACACAAAAGCCCATATTTTTTATAAAACATTACAGCAAATAAGGAACTTAAGGAAATAAAATAAAGAATAGTATATTAAAGTATAAGTGGATATTAAGGTCTTTAAAACACGCGCGATTTTTCGAGTACGACGGCGCACACTGTAATGAAATTGGAAAAAACGAGACATTAGCCTATATATCAAAATTTGGATTTATGTACAATTTTTTACACGGATAATTAGAGGACACCCCAGAGCTTCAGTATGTGAGATATCTTTCATTTTGCCCTTTTGGTCAAGGAGATATGACAGTTTAAATTTGTGGTTTTTCAATTTACCAAATCCTTTAAAAAATAACACCCATATTAAAAAATACATAATTTAGTGGTCTCGCAATATTTTTGAATTTCGATAATTTTATTTTGGAGGGTGACCTTTTGCCGCCATAATCCCATTAAGATATTTCCTCAGTATCCCTAGGGATAATTTCCTTAATTTTTGAACGAGTGGTAGCAATTTAAAAAAAAAAAAAAATCAGTTGACTTATAAAAAAATGGATAACTTTGGATAATGTTTTATACATAACGTATTATAGATTGAACCTTCTAGTATTCTGTCCTATATAATTTGCTTCCACCTGGATCCGATTTTGGAATTTTTTTTTTTTGGCAATAATGTTTTTTAACTGATTCCTGCCGGTATAAAAGTAATGCTTAAAAGTTGTTTAATGAAAAAGAAATACATCTTGTGAGGACGTTTGATAATTATTATATTATCTTTTTTTCAGTCCAGACCATATGTATATAGTATGTGTGACCATAGTACATGTGATTTCAGACCATAGTATATGCGATCTTAACAAAACCGTAAAAAATGTCCCGTTTTAGGCAATTTTTTAAATCTCATCTTTAAAAAGGTGTTTTAGCTGGTAAACTTCATATGAATTGCTGTCTATGAATTGGCATAGTATTTTCCTATTAATAATATTTTGTTTATTTTAAATTTTAAGTCTGTGAACTTAACGGTCACCTAATAAATTCTGTTCTTTTAATATGACTTGGTATTTTATTCATTGATAAGGTTTACTTTTCTGCATCAGTGCGAATTCTTCCATATCATCACAACATAGGAATTTCTGTTTTCTATTTTAATATACTTTTCACCCTTTTATCTTTGCAGAAGAGAAGTTTTGTCGTATTATTCATTTTTTGGAAAAAAGACTCAATGTCCCATTTTTTTCGATTCCGTTACACTGTGCGGCGCAGCCGGAGTGCTCGAAATAGAGCAAGTGTTTTAAATACCAGTTATCCACGAATACTTTACACTATTTTTTTTTATTGGTATACGTTCAATCAAATCATAAATTACTAATAATTGTAGAATGCTCAATTCGTGCTTGACACTTGTTATATTTTATTTGACGTTATCTACAAGTACCTACTCCTGACAAATCAATAATTAAAAAGTTGACATTTAGACCTTTCTCGGGTTGTTGGTTGTTGATGTTGTCATTGGTAACTTTAAAACACGCGCGTTTTTGAATGTTGGATTTAAACACGCTGAGGAGTACTTTAAATAGGTGAAAGAGGTTATCAATAAAAAAAAATCTGTTTCTGTCTGCATGCTTTATACATTAATAATATATTTTCAAAAAAAATAAAATCAGTCAGCATAGTACATTATACTTTTTCTAGAAACAAATTATAATATAATTCCACTAAACTTATAAATCAAACTAAAAAAAATCTCTAATAATAGGTACCCATATTCAATACCTATTCAACATCCTCTTTTAGTTAAAAGATCACTTTAAAAATTTATCTATATCCTTTTTTGAACTTATAATGATAATTAGAAAAAATATATAGATTTAAATATTTAAAAAGAGGTCTTTTAGTCTAGCTAAAAGAGAATATTGAATACGATCACAAGACTCTAAACAAAAGTAACTGGAAGTGGAAACAACAAACAATAACAAAACGAATAACGTTTTTTTTTTCCTTGTTTTCTAAAGTAGCTCATTTTTAATATTTTGACTTTTTCTGGTAATAATCATTCCCGGAGCTCTGCCCAGACTAACCCATAGGAGCTGAAAATTCGTTCCAAAGATGCCGAACTCGCGGGGCATTAATGAAGGTTAGCAAAGAATTCAGCCATGTTGATCAAATTATTGTCCCTATAATTTACCAAAAACCACAAAAACCCAACAATAACCCAATTACCCGACAAAAACACAAAAACGCAAGACAAAAACACAAATACCCACCCAAGGACTCAAAAAACCCAGGCTTTTGCCAACCCTGTCTAATACCAAGTTGTGATTGGTTGGATCTTATGCTTATGCGTTATGCAAAACCGTGTGTGACGGCCTTTAGGTTAGGTAGGTATTAAAGTTTTTTCCTACGAGCGTGCGGTAAAGTACCCTTTACCGCACTCATTTTCGTCCCGTAGGGAGTACTCGTATATAGTATATTATATAATAAGTGTGGTAACTAGGTTATTACCGCACGCGAGAGAAATTTGCAAACCGAGCCGGTGAGGCGAGGTTTGCAATCTCTAAGGGTTATAGGTAGGTACTTTAACTCTGGTAGGTAATTGAAGGTACGTACCTATGTAGGTAGAGCGTGCGGTATAGTTATTTTCCTAACAAGTGCGCAAAGTGTTACTTTTCCGCA